ACATTATTACTCGCGGTGGCCTACTAATGTATCTAGTCAGTGCAGCTATCCTCCCAGACAAGTCTGATCAATCCATCGACCCTACTGGGATGAAAGAATTGGTGAATCATAGGGGCGGGATAGAACTACCGATTATGTGTACGGAACAAGGCTCCTTCATCCACTGAGACACACACGCTCAAATATCTCAATGTGACTGACATACAATAAAGGAAACTGTCTCAAGTCGTCTTTGCTTATAAGATCAACTGTATCGTCATCATGATTTTTTCACAAACTTCCGCCCGGAAGCATTCGAACGGAAAGCCAATAAACCACAATCTGAGCCGGTGATGACCGATAGTATAGCGACCTGGAAACGCCCTTAGCTGGCTGAATTCCTATAGATATAGGTGGAAACGCCTCGACAAGACCATTTGGAGCCTCCTAGTAAACCGCAACTAAACCCACACATAAACCCATGTCCTTGATTGATGAGAATTAGCAGACAATGGAACTACTGGAAAAAGTGCTAGGGTCTATACCATTGTAAGGGGCTCGATGTAAGTATCCAGCGAACACAAGGCATCAAGTCGTTCTCGGATATTTTCAAACTCTGACTTTTCAACAGAAATGGACGAAGATATCCCAACTACTCACTTGGATACTGGGACGGTCCATCTTCACGAACTGTGCGGATCTCAGCACAAGAAAATGTGCTAGTTTAACTATTTTGTTCCCTGAAGTTCCAAGGTAAGCCTAACCGGAGCTTCCTCAGGTCGTCGCCATATTAGAGTAGTCGCCGCCTCTGTTGATCAAAAGGAGGTTATCACCCAGCCACTAATAGCTGCCAACATGGCGGTCATTTCTGGTGCGGTTTACTCTCAGCTGTGCCTTCCGAGCGAAAAGGTCAGACTCTTTCGCTTGGTAAGGCCTGCTGAGGGTTGAACGTTCCTCTGTAGTTCGCGGTCAGAGTTCAGTGATAACTCTCAGCCACGATGAGGCGGTATACCATTTGAGAAGAAGGTACGATGAGAGCATTTCTAAAGAGTGGATCGAGAGAAAGAGCCAAAGGAATGCGAAAGCTTATTACTATTCAAAAAGGCTCAATCGATACAATAAATTATGTGGAAACATTCGCATAACACCTGCCGAATATTAGTGCAAGGATGTTATCTTAGCGAGGAGGCATAGTGTAGTGGTTATTGATGCACTCCTACACGAAGCAAGGTGCTGGTTCGACTTCCTCCATCAACGCTCCATTGTAATCCACTTGGGAACATTTTAGCTCAACTATCTCCAAGATTACGAAGAAAATTGACTCCAGCAATAATCTACGATGCTCTCAAAGAAGACGAAATTCTCAAGCAGCACTCAAAACGACACGTGAATGTTTGAAGACCTTTGTGGAGGTCAAATACGAAGAAACAAGTCGAATATAGAAGCGCTAAGATCTGCACAGTGAATCGTGCCTATGGGTCGTGCAAAATCTCAAAAAATGACAGAAATCAAGTTTCAGAGAGCGCCCGACTGACGAGATCGCAAGATCGAAAGACGTGTATTGGGCTCTATAGGTCAGCCCTCCTTGATGGACCACTGACATGCGTGGCTCAAAAATAATTACCATGCATATTTAAATTTGAGCTGTGGTCTTAAGAAAACACTCGAACGAAAGATATCATATATTAAATATACTAGCCAAGAACAATCAAGTGTTCAACACTCTGTGTTCGGCGATAATTTCACTAGACATAGAGTGTAAAACGTCCGTCGTCGCTAACTCAGTGTGGGTACTGGAGCACCCACATAGGATTGGCAAAAGACGAGAAAGGGTAGCTGCTCGGCTGACGAGATGGCAAGATCGAAACACGTGTATCAGGCTCTTTAAGTCAGCCCTCTTAGATAAACCACTGACATGCGTGGCTCAAAAATATTTACCAGGCACATTGAAATTTGAGCTGTGGTCTTAAGAAAACTCGAAACGAAAAACAGTAATCAAGTGCTTTGCAAAGTTTCAGACGTGCGAGGAATCGAACCCCCACTTCACCTTCTCATGTCGCGGAGAACCCCTTGTACCACTGACGCTTCTGTTCTGCCATCACTCGTTCTTCGAGCCTCCCGGAAACGAGGTGCCGATTCGCTTCCCTTTGACGGTCAAAATTTGCATATCACTCAGAATTATACAATAACTACATCGAATGATGCTAACGTTGCTACCATTCTTCAACATCTATTCAAGAAGAAAACAAAAAATTTTGCATGAAACTCTCACAAGTTCGCAGAACGAGACGAAGATCATCCGGTAGATCAGATTGACAGCGACACATGAATTGGGAAATAAGTAAAAATAATGTGATATCTTAATACTTATTACTTGGACGGCCCTATTCAGTGATTAGCGGGCCCCAGCACAGGATACAGGGATATTGTGCTGGTTTAGCTATTTGTCTCCTGGAGTCCCCCGGAGTACCAAGATAAGCGTAGCCAAGCTTTCCTCAGATCATCACTACAATAAAGCAGTAGCTGACCCTTATGGATCAGAGGGAGATTACCACCTTGGGACTAGTGATAGCTGCAAGACGACGGTCGAACCTTATACAGTTTACTCTGAGTTGGGCTTTCCTGGTGGAAACATCGGACCACTTCTCAGTTTGAGTGCCCTCGTCGGAAAGGGGAGGGGAGGAATTGAACCCCCCCCACCCCGCTGGGCTTCGCAGTCCAGCACCCAGGAACACCTTACAGCCACGATGAGGAGGTAAATCATCGAGGAGGAACGTGATAATCGGATATAAAAAAACGCGACATATAGGATGTAACGCCGTAACATACAGTCTTAAAGCTAGATATACCCAATGATTCTGGGTGGTGGTGCAAAACTTTGACGTCAGGCAGGACTCGGACTCGTACTCCACCCTTTTTGTGGTCGCGTGCTCAACCAATTGCACTAGCGAAATGCGGGTTCGAGTCCCGTCGGACGTCAAAGTTTTTTGCACCACTCAATATCATTTTGTATATACATAGAACATCATAGCACCGTGAAAAGCAGAAGAATAAAAAGGCATTCAATTCTGAAACTTTTCCTCAACAAACTGGTACTTCTTTTCGTTCGAACTACAGGTATTCCAGGGTTTTTTTATTTTTAGAAGATATATAGAAACAGAAAAAGTACAAGTAAAAGTAGTCTCATTATCAAGGCAAATAAAAATAGAATGAACTAGTAAAAGTTAAAGAAAAATAACCGCCGAAGTAGTCCGGGACGGCCTCCTCTGAAGACGGGACGAGAAGCGAATGGAGGAGCCATAGGGTCGCGGCAACGGCAGCCCGACAAGGCGCCGTGCGCGGTGTCGCGCGCGCACATCGCCAACCGAAACGGCTCGTCGCGCGCGCGCGTACTTCGCCACTGGCGACGCCGTGATTTCAAAAGTGTCGTGCGAGTCGCTGGCCAAAAAGGTTTTGTGGGGTATCTTTGCCCGAGGCGACAATCCATGCAAGGTCTTAGGGTTTATTGCAGGGGTTAAAACACCCTTCATAGGACTCCTACCAGTAGCTAATCGTGGCTCATTGGCGGAGACTCATTTCACTAGTCGATTTATAGAGCAAATCTTCAAATTCGCCCTTCCTTCCCCCATTCCACTCTTTGTTTATTTCACATTTTGTTTGTTTATTTGTTTATTTGTTTGTTTGTTTGCTTTGGATTTATCTTTTGTTCTTTTTACCGTCTTAACTTTCTGTTCCCGTGTTTTTTTTTCTCGTGTTTTTCTTTTCAATTGAAATCCAGCGAACGAGTGCTTTTTTTATTTTGTATTTTTTTATTTTGCAAGCCTTATTTCTTTTCTTCTATTCTAGAAGGGTTAAAATTCTGAAGGGGTTTAAATTCGTTATAGCATTAGCTAAAATTACTCGATAGGAATTGTATCAGTAGATGACAATAGCTACACTCATTGGAGACTCATTTCATAAGTTTATTTCACCCGCTCTTTAAATTCTTCGTCCTCCTCCCACTACTCTTTTTTGCATATTTTTTATTACTTGTTTTACATTTATTTATTCACTTTGCTTTGCAGCGTTCCAGGAAGTTTTTTTTTCTTTATCGCGTCTAAATTTTGCCATTTACATTGTACTCTTCGCTTTTTTTCAGGTTATGAAACCTTTTTTTTTAACCATAACTCTAAACTGCTTGTATTTACTTCGAACTCAGCAAATGCTGCGTGTTTTTTTTTTGGTTCTCGTGCTTTATTTGACCCCTAAGGGACGACGTGTACCAGATGAGGTACACGATTGTTTTAAAGGCCTTTCTTCGCTGAACAAACCCTTTCCCTTGATCACTCGGTAATCATTTGAAAGCTTAAATCTCTGCGAATTCAACAATATGTTTGATTTTTTGAAAAACCTTTTCTATTGCGCTGTAGTAGCGAAAATAAAATCATGTTTCACACTCAGCTTGCTTCTTGGTCGGCTGGGGCTTGCGTATGGCTCTACGCCAAATTCTTGTTTCAACCCCTAAGGGACGACGTGTACCAGATGAGGTACACGATTGTTTGAAGGCCTTTCTTGCTGAACAAACCCTTCCCTTGATCACTTGGTAATCATTTGAAAGCTAAATCTCTGCGAATTCAACAATATGTTTGATTTAACAAAAAAAATAAATCATGTTTCACACTCAGCTTTCTTCTTGGTCGGCTGGGGCTTGCGTATGGCTCTTCGCCAAATTCTCAGTTGTCATTCGACAGACGAAATATCGAAGATTTCGGTCCTGATGATGATTCTTTTGCTTCAGTGATCAGTCAAGTAAGACGTATATCATTTCAGCATGACTAAGTGAGGTTTCAGAGGGACTTCTGTGTGATTTTCGCGTACATTTCACTTCTTCTTAACTAAGAAATTCTAGAAATAGAAGATCTATTAGTGACAAATTCTAGTCATATGAGACTTTTCATGGTTGTAGAATGTTTCCAGTTTGGATTATTTCGATCAAAGACAAAGGCATGTGCACAATGACGTTGAGTGATGTGCAAAACTTTTGCGTCAGGCGAGACTTGAACCCGCATTTCACCCTATCCTTGGGCGTGTGCCTAACCTGTTGCACTACCGACGCCTGTTTTGCCATCACCCTTACCACTCTGCACTGCGCCAGTCTTCAGAGCAACCAACCGTCAGCGGTTTTGGCCTGGACTATTTTATAAACACTTCAATTGTTCTGGGACATCGCTCGGAAATTCCAGTATAATCTGATTGAATTTTCTTAATCCTTCCAGAGATCTGGGTGTGGCACTCCGAGTGCTGGACTGTACGTTTCGACTTTCTCGCAAGCCTCGTCAGTAGCACATGCCATTCGGCCACTCGTCCCTTTCTGTTACAGGGAATCGAAGCCGTATAAGTTTTATTTTATTACGAGACTATTTCGAAAGTTCGTTTTTACAACGCTTTCTTTTCATCGTTCTTCTATATACTCTTTGTTTTTTTTTACATTTTTTCACTTATTTTTTATTCCACATCTGTCTTTTTTCAGGTTTCTTTTTATAACATTTCATTTTACAGCGCTCATGAATTTATTTTTCCTACGTTTTAATTTTGCCCTTCACATTCTACTCTCAGTATACTTTATATTAATTTTTTTGAGTTTAGTCAGATCGCTTTCTATTTTGTCCTTGATTCTATTTTGCGTAGATTACTGGCTCTTCTGCTTTAGTTTTAACCTACTTTGTCTAGAACTAAAATCCGATGAAGAATTGCGTGTTTTTGGTTTCTCTTCGTTTATTTGATTATTTGCGTGGTTAATCAAATTACAGCTGTATTAATTGTACATGACGAGCTTGATGTTTCGAAGGAAATTTTCGTATGATTTTCGCGTATATTTCACTTTTTCGTTACTTTTATTTGGCAGCTATGAAGAATTTTTCAGCTGTACTGAAGGAGGTCGAACTCGTCGTAAATGGACTGAATTTTCCTCAACTTACTAGGATATTGCTCATAGATTCTTCCTTCCTTTCTCGTCGACCTGTTGTTGCGCCAGCGGATGAACATGGCATCGTTCATGAAGATGTTCAAAAATAGGAAAGGATCGAATAAGGAGAATTTGCCGAATATAGTGAGTGCCGTTATGTATTTGTTCTATCTCGTCTTCCATAAACCATTATGTGTACATATGCATATATACATATATATATATATTGTATACGTGCATATCATACGTACATATATATGTGTGTATATACATATATGTATGCGTATGTACACCTGTATATGAATATACATGTGCGATGTGCATACACATAGTACACACGTATGCGTTCTCTATAGTTCCTGCTTATATAGTCATTAGGTCTTCTTATAAATTTTGGCACCAGTGCAATAAAGACCAAATTTATTAGCCAGAAGTAATTCCATTGGACTGTTGGAAATCATTCGAAAGCCTAAATCATTGTGAATACAGAAATGTACTTGTTTTTTGAAAGTTCGCTTTGTGGCGCAGCAGCATTCAATAGAAAATTATGTTTCACATGCACCGCGTGCTTTTTTTTTATTAGTAAATGTATTATGAAATTTGATAAATGCGTTATTATTATCACTACTACTAGTGAAAGTACGCGGTGCATGTGAAACATAATTTTCTTTTGAATGCTGTGCGTCATAAAAAAAGCTTTTTTTTTCTAACCAACCAGGTTGATTTCTGAATATGCGATGTTTTCAGCTTATGAATGATTGCTACAGTCCAATGGTATTACTTCTGGTTAATAAATTTGGTGTTTAATGCTCTAGTGCAAAAACTCATGATAAGATCTGATATATAAATATATATATAACATATATATATGTATATATATGTATATATATATAGTGTATGCATGTCTGTATAGCTTTAGAATGTTTTGTCACTGTGCGTACCATATTGAAGTGCATGGTACATCATCAATTACTTCGTAGTGTACAGTTTTTTCCTCCCAAAAGCTGAACTATGAGGTTGTTTCAATGAAATTTATTTGAACAGCTGACATTTCGGCGGTGCCATCTTCAGGCCTGGAAAGATCAGTATAACTACAGCCCAGTGTGTAGAACACTTCTGCTACTTCATTAGAAGAAATCATGGAACCTAGATTCCAATCACATTGAAAACAAACAACTTTTCTTTGGCTTATCAGCTGAAAAAAACTATGGACTACTGAACAATACCGAGGTTAATAGATACGTTGTCTTTGGAATTACTTCAAGTGTCTTTTTGTTTCCATGATGTGCATGAATTGCTTCTTTTGGAGCCGATATCAGTGCGATTTTACATCGAGATTTGTATTTTTTGTGTAGAATTTTATGAAATTTCTTGATATGCGTGATAGTTGTATGGAGTCGCTCTTCAGAATCGTGGCAATATGGAACGATCGTCTACAACAAGTAATGACTTTGAGACTAAACGAAACGCTGCCGGAGTCTATGCAGGAGAATCAAGACACTCCAAAGAAATCCATATTCCTAACCCATATTCTGTAGTGACGGCACCAAAAAAGACTAAAGGTATCGCTTTGGAAACATTTCTTGTAGTTTTTCAATTATAATTTTCTTCTTGTGGTTGTTTCTAACTCCTCTTGATACAGCCCTATATTGGCGACTTATCAGTTCGCGTATGATGATAGGTTGTCGAAAGTGTTGTTTTCTAGGTCCCCGATCCTGCCCCGGTGCTCCTATGGATGATCGTAGTTTTCGAAGTAATTCCTATCGAGGAAAGCCTTTAAATGACCGGTATTCCTCCATGAATAGTTCTTTGCGCTACGAGAATATTGGAAGAATGCGGAATGAGTCGGTGTTCCAGCAGCCTTTAGTTCATACTTCATAAGATAATTTCTTTTTCGTTCAGTATGCTTCGTCATGAGACTATCAACGAGTATAGTAGCGAAAGCGCAAACTCTAGCCGTGATAGTCCTCCTGATGTCCAGAGCAGAAAAGAGGTAATCCTTGTCTCTTGGAGTCCCCCTCCTAGAAAAGCGACTTATACTCCGATTTCTTTTATTTACTTTTCTTTTTATAACGGTTATCAAGTGTATAAAGTAAACTATTAGTTCTGCTATCGACTGCTTTTTTACAGACCCGCTCAAAATGATTTAATCTGATAAGGATATGACATATTTTGAGCCATAGGTCTAGTGCTATATAGGCGCCTATTTCGTCCTATTGGGACTCATCAGTAGCACCCTCCCTTGGTTCCGTCGATCCTTGAGGTGAAATAATCCTCTAAAGGAACCGACGCCGAGTAAAATTAAGCACCCAAAGTCAGGTAATACCATCATCCTACTTTGGGTGCTTAATTTTACTCGGCGTCGGTTCCTTTAGAGGATTATTTCACCTCAAGGGATCGACGGAACCAAGGGAGGGTGCTACTGATGAGTCCCAATAGGACGAAATAGGCGCCTATATAGCACTAGACCTATGGCTCAAAATATGTCATATCCTTATCATTATTAAACTATTAGTTCGAAATTTGGCGTTAATTGCAGTGTCTTCACACTTTTCATTATTTTTGATTGATTTCAGTGACTGATTGTTTTAGAAGATGGCATCTGAAAGTCAACGGTACTACACCAGCACTTTGAATGATTCAACTGACGATGATGATGGAGCTAATTTAAGAATTGTTAGTTCTATTCAAGATTATTTACAATCCTTGATGATCCTATATTTTCGCTTGTGTTTTATATTTATAATTTTTATATGTTTATGATCTCTTGAAAACATTTGTACAGCTTCAACTGGAGGCGAAACTGAAAAGGGCCAGGGAACTGATACGTTGCACTAGGAGAGACATGTCGGAGAGAATAGAGGAGTTACAAGATGAAATCGAGCGGAAGAGGTATCGTACTCTTGTATTTTCTAATATTCTGATTTTTTTCCTCTCTTGGTAGTAGGCATTCGATCAGTAGGACATACTTCGATTCGTTCTAGGCAGGATTATGACACACTCAAGTGGCATTATAAGCAGGCTCGTAAAGCATTCGAAGATGAGCGCAAGATTAATGCACGTCAAACAAAGAAGTTGCATCAGGCACTCGAAGAAGTGGTACTTCGTTTTTCAATCTTTTTTTCCTACTTTTATCCCCAATAATATCACTGTCTTCTTTGACTTTGAGGACGTGCTAGGCTCTTTTTCACAGTTACAGGGCCGTTTTTATACTCAGTTGTTTCCAGTCGCGTTTGAAAGCGATGCTGACAGAGCACTCGAATGACAGTTCGTTTCTGATTCCGTATTGTGGTGGTCTTCCCCCAATGTGCTACGGCTCCGGAGCTGGTGAAGCGTTATGTTCCTTAACGGAAACTCAGTCTGACTGTGTAAATGATCGTCTATGTTCAATAAATGAAATCCATGAGGACAATGTAAGCGAAAGGTTGTCTTCGCAAACAGAACACACCACAACTCGTGAAAGCACTGCTGAATCACCTCTGAACAATGAACACCAAGAAGATATGCAGGATGAGGTTCGTTCCTTCTTTGTGATATCAGGTTTTTTTATTTGTTTAGTTCTAGGTAATCGTCCTGTCTGGTTTCTTTCTTTTTCTTCTTTTTCCTTCATTACTTCTCTTCTTATTGTCTTTGACCTGTGCATTCATGTTTTCTCGTAGCTGCAGTAATTATTGAGTTGCCAATAATTGTTGATATTATTTGCTTTTTTTCTGCCAGTATTGAAGATGATAGTCGTGTTAATTACCATAATGGATTATGTATAGGTTCGCGTTTTTCGAACGGCCGAGTGTGATACTCCACCCCCAGAAAGGCCCAGAGCGACAGGAAGTCCAATTGTGTCGCTGTCTTCTCATGTTCCGACTACTGATTACACCATCAGCAACGATTTTATTCCACAAAGGTGAGTTGGTATTAATCTACGTGGATTTTTTTTCTAACAGAGCGCTCCAATCATCCTTTTTTTAGATTGCATAGGTCGCTTTCTGATACCGATATTCGTGCTTTACTACTGCAAGAAGCGGGAAAAGGAGAACTAAGGAAAGATAAGACATTGATGCAAGGGCTATCTCATCCACGGTCGCGCGCTATAAGGAGGGACTTCGATTATTACGTTAGAGTAAGTTTTTTTAACGGCTTTGCGATTATATGAG